AAAAAAAAAAAAAAAAGCCGGGCACAGTGGCTCACGCCTGTAATTCTAACACTTTGGGAGGCCAAGGCAGGCAGATCACCTAAGGTCAGGAGTTCAAGAGCATCCTGACCAATATGGCAAAAACCTGTCTCTACTAAAAATACAAAAATTAACCGGGTATGGTGGCACATGCCTGTAATCCCAGCTACTCAGGAGACTGAGGCAGGAGAATCGCTTGAACCCGGGAGGGCAGAGGTTTGCAGTAAGCCGAGATCGCGCCACTGCACTCTAACTGGGTGACAGAGCCAGACTCCGTCTCAAAAAAAAAAAAATAAAAGTGATAAACGCACAGGGAGGAAGTCTATAAATGTTAAGGCCTTATGGAGATGTTAGGAACATGTGTCACCACGCTCCCAGCTACCCAAGGACTCAAGCAGCCTCTGACCTGGGGGGAACAAGGCTGCCTACACAACATGACAACCAGGCCATGTCCGAACCAGTTCCCCTGGTTGGGCCAGAATCCCAGGAGGCCTCACTTGACACAGGCGCCTTCATTTGCTGGTGCCAGGGGATTCAGGGTTGGTCAGTGGCAGCGAAGCCTTGACAAGGGATGAAAAGACAGGGTCTGCGCTCTGGTTCCTAGTTTTCTGTGGTTACAGTACCTGTATACACACAGACAGCCATCCCTCTCCCAGGTACATCTGGCTGCATGAACCAGCATCTCCCAAGAGGGCCCAGGTTGTTTTAATGCAGCTCCAACACAGCCTCAGCTCTGGGGAAAGCTGCACCTATTGCCAGGCCTGCCTGAGATCATGAGAGTAAAGGGCAGGGGTGGGAGAACACCGGATGTGAAGTCAGAGTCAGAGGCTGTATCTTGGGACTGGCACTAACTGTGGCCCCTCATTACCTACCATCCCCTCCTGAGAAAGAAAGGACAGGGCACAAAGGGATGCCCACTGCAAACATGCAAAGCACAGGGGAGCTTGCACATGGGCAAATGATCTCTGAGCCTCATTGTTAGAAGGGGGCCAATGATACCTCACAGAGCTTCTGGGACAAATAATGGAGACAATGTAGCAGAAAGAGCCTGACAACCAGTAAGAGTTCAGTACACTCCCTTTCCTCCCCTGGACACACCAGTGCGCAACTTCCAGAAACTCACCATCTTCTGCAGTGTTGAGTTTGAGGCTCTTGCCCTTGAAACTCAGCTGTCCCCCGGCCACCTGAGTCTTGGCCAGTGTCTCTGCCAGCTTGGCAATGTCTTCCGAGGCCATGCTGACTAGGCTGGTGGGCTCCCCTGGAGATCTGCAGACTGAAGAGGCCAAAGTTGCAATAAGAAAAAGGAGTCTCCTGGGGCCCCCGGTTGGGGGGCAGGGTAGGACATAGTCATCTCAGGAGTCTGACCGTACCTCCCCTGCTATGGTGACCCTACAGCTAAACCACTGGAAGAAAGGAAAACAGCATCAGAGAATGAACAGTTCCAGAAGGTGCAGGAGGTAGTAAGAGAACAGAAAAATCATGTTTTAGCCTATAAGGAGCTACCATCTCATTACAAGTCCTCCTCTGCCAAACTGCTGCAGCTGGGATGCCCAGCAACGCCATGTGAGCTGCCCATTTCCTGGACCCCGTCAGTGAATGGCAGTCAAGTCCCAAACCAAAGGCTGCAGAGTCTGGCCCGAGCACACACCTGCTTGAGCATCTTGGCTGCTTTCTGCTTGAGGGTCACACTCCTCAAACAGGACACAGATGGCTATGGGATCCAGATCATTCATCCCAGAGAATGCCCCACACCCACACTGGCATGACTCTGGGGTGGGGCACAGGGGTCAGCCCCACTGCACGTCTGGTTTCAACCCTGGCCGGGAGACTAGGGAGGCCACAGTGGCCTCTCAGGGTTTTCTAGATCAGAGATTGCCACATCACAACAGCTACCATCATAATAGGACAGGGACAGGGCTGCCACCCATGAAGCCCTACTACACCCAAGTTTACCAGGGGATCTGGTTGGAAATGGGGTTGATGAGCCTCACTGTTTATAAAGTCAGGAGTGCTGGTAAAAGAAGTAAAGCTGGCCAGGTGCAGTGGCTCACACCTGTAATCCCAGCACATTGGGAAGCTGTGGTGGGAAGATCGCTTGAGCCCAGCAGCTCAAGCTGGGTAACATGGCAAAATTCCATCTCTATTAAAATAAATAAATAAATAAAATTAGCAGGGGATGGTGGTGTGCACCTGTAATCCCAGCTATTGGGGAGGCTGAGGTGGGAGGATTGCTTGAGCCCAGGGGACAGAGGCTACAGTGAGCCACGATCTCACCACTGCACTCTAGCCTGGGTGACAGAGTA